AGGGGGCCCCCGTTTAAAAAAAAAACAAAAAAAAAAAAAAAAAAAAAAAAGAAAGAAAGAAAAGAAAATATCATACTAGATAAACAGTAGTGCTGCAAAAGTTCAGTCAGGAACACTAATGAGCATAGTGGTGACCTGGGGAAATCGTAGTAAAAAATGTCCCTTTTTGTTTGGAACACTGTATGTCCTTCCTACCTGTTAGTCACTTAGTGAGTAGATGGAGGTTGAGAACAAAAATCAGATGCTAAGGCAGAGACAGAGAACCTCACATAACTTTTATTCACTGAATTATTGCTCTATTTTATTATCATTGTCAGTTTCTTAAAGTGAGTAATTTCTGAATTGAACTTTATCATAGGACTGTATATATAGAAAAGACGTAGTCTACATAGAGTATACTTCTATCCACATTTCAGGCATCCCCTGAGAGAGTCTTACAACCTATTTCTCGAAGAGCAGAGACTACTGCAGAATCACCCTCCTTTAATACTTCATCTGCATCAGGAATAGTTATTTGAAGCAAGCACACTATAGCTAGGATTGTGTTTTAAGAAATGCTGTAACAGAAAATTTAAATTTAAACTTAATAATCACCATTATAAACTGCCTTTATGTGTTTGTAATAAGTATAAAAATGCAAATTGGCAAACATGGAACTTGAAAAATATTATGCTGCAGTTTAGTAAATTAAAACAAGAAAAACTAGAATATGATCCACCTCCTTAGTATTGTACCACATTATTTTAGTGATAAAAAGTAGCTGGTAGGTAGTTCTAGATAGAAAGGGGTAAGCCTATTTGTTTTTTTTAAAAAAAGGTTTTAACTGTTTCACAAGCCTGGGAAGATAGTTCTTTGTGATGAGAGTCAGGACAGGGAGTAGGCATATAGGGGTAAAGAAAGGATTTGAATTAAAAAATAATGAGCAATTATGCTCCAGGACCATGAACCTAAGCCTACAACCATTTCTCATTATTTCAAATTCCTAACTTTATTTTCAGTTAAATGAAAGCAGCCATTTAAGTGAGTGCTGGGACTCGGGTCAGGGCTAACATTACAGATGATTCCAGTTCCAATTTCATAAACCTATAAATTGAATAAAATGCCAAATGCAAGCTACATAGTTCAATCACATTATAAATCTTTTTTTTTTTTTTTAATGATTCACTCTTTAGCCAAAACTAGATCTGGGACAGATGCAGGGTAGAGACAAAAACCCAAATTCCATACTTCCTATTCTTGGATTATTTTGTCTTAAAGTGGGTACTCCGCAGCTAACTGAATTTGAAAATTTCTGGTTCACTGTCCTTATTTAAGGAAATAGATTAAGTAGCTTCTGAATTTTAAAGGTGTATCTTCCAGTATGTGGTTTTCCTATGTCAGAAACGATGACATGAGAAAAGGTCTGTTAAACCGAGCCAACTCTGCAATGGGTTTGAAGAGGAAGCTGGACACAGTCATCTTGGAGAGTTGCCCAATTCAGACAATTCAGGTTGGTGGCAGGACAAGGCCTCCAGCTCAAAAGACTCTTGAAAAACAAGTCTTGAGAATTCTTCCAAAACACTGAACCATTTAATATGGTTTTTAAGAGCAAATACAACAAACATAGTGGACCTGTAACCACATAGTAGACCTGTAACCAGTTCGACAGAAATGAAAGCATTCTAAAGAGACACTTGTGTCCCTCAGTCTATCACAATATTGAAACACTGTACCCTAAGAATGAGAATTTCTCAGGAATCTCATGCTGGGAGAAGGAAAAGACTGGGCTGACACCAATGGGGAACTTGACTGCCGGAAAATAGTTTCATAGTTCTAACAACCTGTCAGACTACCTTGTAGGATGAAGCTGAAGCCCAGAAAATGATGAGTCAGAGTTGGGCATGGCCAGACCTTGACCAGGACTAGATGTGGGTATTCCTGGCCCACAATGTAAACTGTAATTTCACTTCAGGACCCAGAAGATGGACTGGAAGGAGTTACTATGTCTCTGTATCCTTCTTCCCGTGGGGTCAAATTGAGTAAATCTCCTTCTATTAATTTGGCTGTTTTAACTGGCTTCCTGAGGACAGTTTTTGGGTTACAGACTGTGATCTCAGGTTCAGTAACAGCCCTTTTATCTTGACACATGGCTCATTAGTGGGATCAATTCTTATCAGTGCGTGGTAAACACCAGCGTGCAACCTAAGTTCCAGATGTTAATGAACCACATGACTTTAGCAAATCTTTGTTGCTTTCTTAGGGAACAGCAAGCACGAAGCTCCCAGCTATGACTGCCCAACATTAGCTCCTTTCCCTCCCTCACTTGGAAATCACAAACATTGATGGGAATAATATACTGTAAATTGCAGAGTGCTTGGAGCATATTAAGGCTCAATATCTTTGGTTATTATTATTTATTTCTTCTCATTGCTTTTGTTTGTTTGCTTGCCTTTTTGAGTCAGGGTCTCCCTGTAGCCCCAGCTGTCCAGGAACTCACTATTTAGACCAGGCTGGCCTGGAACTCACAAAAATCCTCATGCCTCTGCCTCCCAAATGCTGGGATTAAAGGCGTGCGCCACCACGCCAGGCTTATCACTGGTTATTTTTATATTACTAGTCTATTAGGACTTGCAACGTGTCAGGTAACTAGTTAAATATGGGTACCCCGGCTTTTAATCAGGCTCACTACTACGCATGTGCGAACGTGCTGGAACTCGCGATCCCCTAAAGGCTCACCCCCCCTCTTCCCAACCAGGCGCAAGCTCCGCCCCCCTAAAGAGCCGACAGGCAGATAAAAACGAAAACCGGGCAGGCCGGCTGGGGAGACAGGGGTGAGTGCTTCCGGGGCCAAAGGCTTTTCACTTCCGGGGGAAGCCGGAGAGGCGGGCACCTGGGGGGTGGGAGGCTCGTGCGCCCCTTCCTGGTCTGAAGGCCTTGGGCAGCGTCAAGCAGGCATGAAGATCACTAGGCAGAAACACGCCAAGAAGCACCTCGGCTTCTTCCGCAACAACTTCGGTGTCCGCGAACCCTATCAGATCCTGCTGGACGGCACGTTCTGCCAGGCGGCGCTGCGGGGCCGCATCCAGCTGCGGGAGCAGCTGCCCCGCTACCTCATGGGGGAGACGCAGCTGTGCACCACGAGGTGGGAGGGAGGACGCGGGGCGCGGGGTGGACTCCCTTGGGGCCTGGCTGCAGAGCTCGCTCGGTACAAAACGTCTGCCCACAGTAGTTGATACCGGCCCCCCAGGAAGTAGGGCAGATGGTACAGGGCCCTGTGCACAGCCCCTGCTGTTATCCTGGGGAAAAAAGAACCAGTGTTTTCTAGGTTCCTTCCTTAACCAGCTGTGTACCTTCAGGCGAGTTATTTGATCCCTCTCAGTCTCCCATAGCTTAGTTGCAAACTAGACGTCATAACTACTTAAAAAATCCTAAGGTCAAATAAGGTATAGTGTACGCAGAGTAATTTTCAGCATCCAAGATCTCTTGCTGTTACTTGAATACCTATCTCTTGGTTTAACTCAGTTTTTCAAGCCTTCAACTACCTTGAGAGGTAGCATCATCGATTTCAAGGAAAAGTCTAGATTGGAGATTGAAAGCATTGCCCAAGGCCAAGCTAATGTACCAGCCTAATGCCAAGCATCCCAGATATCGAGGATAACCTTAGTGGGCAGGACAAAAGCCAGCTTTCATGGACTGTGAAGTCTGTATGTCAACTCTCAGTGGCTATGCTTTCATCCCAGGTCCATGCCTCCCGCTTCATCTAAGTGTGAGCACACAGGGTAGAACATTGTGGGAGGGGAGGGAGGGAGAGAATTGTAGGTTTCATATAGGAGATGGTTGAGCCCCTTCATTTGCTCAGTCCTGAGGGGAAGGACCATTTTGAATGCTAGAGAAGAGTAACTATATTGAGCAAATGGAATTGGATAATGTCTGAAGAAGGCATGATAGCAAATACAAGAACTAAAGTAGGGGAAAGGTTAGCTGAAGTCAGATCATGAACAACTATTGGGAATTTTACCGCAGTTATTCCATTTCAGTATTAAAACAAGCAAAATGATTCATACGTCTGCTCATGAATAGCCAGTTAGTATGTTGTTTACTTGCATTCTCACAAAAACCCAGCTGGGCTTTGATTACTGTGTTAATCCTCTTCTCTGCCACAAAACACGATGCATGTTAGAACAGCCTTCCTTGTTTGGAATTTCTCAACCAGTGTCCTTTCTGGGTCACAGATAACCTGGAAATTTTGATCCCGTACTCTCAACTTTTCGGTCCTTTTAGTCTTGGGTGCTGTCTGTCAAGGCTTTTGACAGCCTATGCCCCTAAATTGGTTGCTTCTGGCTGTAAGTAGTTTGTTTACCCGTGTGTGCCATAAAAGTATTAATTTGGGGTTTTTGTTTAGCTTTTGTGGTTTTTGAGACAGAGTCTCACTGCTTTGACTGACCAGGTTTGCTTTGAACTCACAGATCTACCTGCCTTTGCCTCCTGAATATCGCAATTAAAGATACATATCACCACTCCCAACTGAAATACTAATATTTTAGTAGTACAATGTTATGCTATAAAATGGTTGAGAAGTACTATATGAACAGACATTTTTCCTAAAGAATTTAACATCTGAAGCCAGCTGTGGTAGGTCACACTTATAATCTGAAAACTCTGGGAGGCTGAGCCATGATTGCTGTGAGCTGGAAGCCAGCCAGCCTGGGTTACATACATAGCAAGAATGTCTCTCTCTCTTTTTTTTTTTTTTTTTTTTTTTTGTCTTTTTGAGACAGGGTCTCCCTGTAGCCTCAGCTGGCCTGGAGATCACTATGTAGACCAAGCTGGCCTTGAACTCACAGAGATCCACCTGCCTCTGCCTCCCCGAGTGCTAGCATCAAAGGCGTGGGCCACCACACCCGCCTTTTGACAATGTTTTAAAGAGAAGAAAAACAGGAAGAAATTTCAGGTTGCAGGAAAAAAAATTTAATGCCCTCCCCCCACCCAAATCACTTTTTCTAAGTAGGTCAATTCGAAAAATGTATCCAGTGGCCAGTCATCTCTAATTCCTGTTGCACTGATGGTCAATGGAATTGAAAGAAAGCCCAGCTTTCACAATCATTGCCTCAAAGGGATAACGCATTGGATTCTTACAAAATACAGAAACGGGGCTGGAGAAATGGCTCAGCAGTTAAGAGCACTGCCTGCTCTTGAGGACCCACGTTTGATTCCCAGTACCCACATGTCAGCTATCAGCCATCCCCTTAACAGGGGAACTGGGTGCATGTACCTACATGCAAGCAATATACTCATACACATAAAATAAAAATAAATAAATTCAGAAGTGGGTCTTGCTGTTTTGTTATCCAGAACATTGAATTGACATTTAAAACAAGGGTAATTTTTTTATGCTTTTTTAAAATTGATTTTTTTGCGTATTTCATATAGAACAGCTCAAACAATCATCTTTATAACCCCATTCCCACTGGCACCCTCCCATAGTTATCCCCCCCTCCCCTCACACCCACTGACGCCCATATACCCTGTCATCCCTGTTAAGGCCCACTGGGTTGTCAGTGTTACCAGCCATTCCCCAGTGCAAGTCTGTCCACAGAATCTAGTCAGACTATCTAGAGTCCCTTGTTTTAGAAAGATCAGCTCTTCTTCATCTAGCAGCAATCAGTTACCAACATTCCTTCAGATAAGATTAAGGTCTGCTGTTCATTTTCCCAGTTCTATGCTGGGTTGTGGTCTGCTTGAATTTGTATGGGACTTGTGTATGCTGACACCATTGCCTTAGAATCACATGAGCTTGTAGGAGCTTGTACGACTCTGTTCC